AGCCCTAGGTCTGGGGTGGGTCTGTGGACCTGTTTCTTACAAACACGGTTTCTCACCTGTTTTCCTGGATATGTGGCAGCAAAGAATCACTCTTCCTGCACTCGGGAGGCAGAGGCAAGCAAATCTCTGTGGGTTCAAGGCCAGCCTGGTCTGCATAGTGAGTTCTAGGCCAGCTACGGCTAGTAGTGAGAACTACTCTTATCCTATAAGGCTTTCTTTTTCCTCAAGTCCGTTGCCCTCTTTTTCACCTTCTACCTCAATGTCAGCTTCACTTACAGGCGACAGTCCTTGGCTTTCTGCTGACCCAGACTTCATAGGCTTTGTACCATCTGTCTGATACTGACCAGGAAACGAACCTTCTGGGCTTTTGTTTTGTTTGTCTCTCGGCCCTACATGATTCTAAGTCCTTGTCTTAAGACAGGCAAAGTAGTGGTGCATGCCTGTAACCCCAGAATTTGGGAGATTTGGGCAGGAGGATCAGGAGTTCAAGATTATCTTTAACAAAAAGAGATGAACAAGAAAAAGAAAGAAAGAAAGAAAGAAAGAAAGAAAGAAAGAAAGAAAGAAAGAAAGAAAGAAAGAAAGAAAAGAGAGAAAGACTGACAGACAGACAAACATCCGTTCCCTCGGCTCCCTTGCCTTCCAGCCGTCTTAGGGAGGCTGTGCCCTCTCAGTGGAATTACACCTTGGCTTTCTCAGGTTTATCCTTCTTCCTGCAACCAGAATCACCTTCTCTGCCTAAAACCATCTCCTGGTTTCTGGGCCTCCAAGATCAAGGCCCGGGGTCTCCGCCTACACCCCGGGGCCCCAGCTCCTGGCTCTGTCGCCTCAGTATTCGCTGTTTTCTGAAACTGCTTTCTGTTTCCATCCGCAAATAAGTTACTCTTGGCCAGGGCACAACATTGAAAAACATCTGAAGGTTTTTTTTTTCTTTGAGACAGGCTTTTTCCATTGCTTTGGAGCCTGTCCTGGAACTTGTTTTGTAGACCAGGCTGGCCTTGAACTCACAGAGACCCACCTGTCTCTGCCTCCCGAGTGCTGGGATTAAAGATGTGCACCACCACCACCACCTGACTTGAAGAAATTTTTTTTTTACATTTTTTTATTGAAAAAAAAAAATTCTGCCTCCTCCCAGCCTCCCGTTTCTCTCCCTCTCCCCCACTCCTCTCCCCCTCCCCCATTGAAGAAAATTTTTGACTGCCTAGGTTGGCCTCTAACTCTCTGTGTAGCTAAGGGTGACCTTGAACTCCTGATTTCCTGCCTCGCTCTACCTCCTGGGCTGGAATTGTTGGTACACACCGCGCCAGCTAGTCCCGCTAATACTCCTGGTACTCCTGAACTCAGGGCCTCCCATACGCTAGGCAGGTACCTACTAACTGAGCCACATTCCCCATTTTAATTTTCTGAAATCTTTTTTATTAGAACGTTGCCGTTCTCACCACAGTGACTTAGTGGTGGTAGAGCACTTGACTCACGCGTGTGGCCCTGAGTTCCACCTCGGCAAAGAAAATGAGTAACTGGGCTGGTGAGAGGGCTTGGTGGGCAAAGTGCCTGCCGCTAAGCTGGCCTCTGTCTAGACCCCTGAGCCCCCCACAGCGGAAAGAGAGAACGGGCACACACAGGTCGTTTGCTGACTACCGCACAAGTGTAACATATACAATAGATAAATGAATAAGTAAATAAAGTAAAAAAAATAATTAATAACAAGCTTCCCTGCCCACTTCAGTAAGCGATGTGTTTTGTTTTCAACCGGATGCTTTTCTTTCTTTCTTAAAAAAGTTTTCTTTAGACAGTCTTGTACGTGTGTAGAATGCATTCTGATGGCTCATCCTCCCCACCTTCGTATCTTTCTCTTGCCCCTGCCGAATACTCTCCTCTCCCCAGCAAGTCCCCTTCTCATGTCGGTTTGGTTTGTTGTTTTGTGGCCCACCCAGTTTAACTAGGGTCGTCCCAGAATCGCTCTGGAGCTGTCTGTCCAATGCGTGGACAAGGCAAGGCACCAGTGGCCCAAAGACCCTGACTGTCCCTCCTCCAGCAGCTGTCCGCTACCCATAGTTCCTCAGGGAGAGGCAGGGCCATGGCCTCCTGAGCTCCTGCCCACCCATGACTGGGCCCGGTCTTGCACAGGCTGGATGGTTTAAAGATGACAGAGGTCTGGGCTATCAATTGCACTTGGTCTTGGAGCAGCTTTACCTTTGGCAAATGGGCAGGAGATGCAACAAACCCAGAGGCCTGAGGACCCGGTTTAGTGACAGAGCTCTTGCCTAGCGGGTGCAAGAGGCTGGGTTGCATCCCTGGTGCCATAAAACAGAAAGAGAAGCCAACGATGCAGCCTGGGTGTGAGGTCTATCTGTAAACATATTAAATATTTGAAAATTACAACTACCAGGACCGGGAGAGTGTAGAAGTGCTAGAGTGTAGAAGTGCATGAGAGCCCGGAATGGAGGGTAACAAAGGTTTATTTATTTGGGCATCCACAGCCCTCTGCATGCACTGGGAACTGAAACCAAATCCAGCAGAGAAAAGACCAAGCATGCTTTTCGTCTGCACTTGTAGTCCATGAGACCACGCCCTAAGTAGACCAGTATCTTAAAGGCTATTGGCTGAAGGAGCTCCCACAGCAGGAGAGTGACTCAGTAGTAGGACACCTGCCTACGCTGTGGGAATCTGTAGGTTCTAGGCCCAGAGGAAAAACAAAACAATTTTTTACAGTATCAGTAAAGGTGATACAGTTTGTAGGTGAAATAAAGCTACCTGGAAACGGTTTACCAAACTTTCTGAACCCGGAACTAAATATGTATGCATATATGTATGTATGTATGCATGCGTACATATGTCTATATTATTTTATTTACATGAAATGAAATTGTCGGTCTATGCTTATACTTTAGTTTTATAATTTTCTTTATGTGTATGGATGTTTTGTTCTCTGTGTGTCTGTGTACCATGTGTATACCTGGAGCTGTGGGCCTGAGTTCCAGACAGGTCACCACTGAGTGCTGGGATTGGGCCCAGTTCCTCTAAAAGAGCAGCCAGCTTCTTAACCACTGGGCCATTGCTCTAGCCAATGTTTTTTTTATCTATCTATCTATCTATCTATCTATCTATCTATCTATCTATCTATCTGGTTTTTTGAGACAGGGCTTCTCTGTAGCTTTGGAGCCTGTCCTGGAACTAGCACTTGTAGACCAGGCTGGCCTCAAATTCACAGAGATCCTCTGACTCCTGAGTGCTGGGATTAAAGGCGTGTGCCACCACCGCCTGGCCGCCAGTGTTTATTTTAAAGCCCAAGTCTAACCAGGCCAGAGATCTAAACTAAAAAGAGATGTTTCTCTATCCGAATCCAATAGCTTCTTTTATGAACTACTTGTTCAAAGCTCCAAATAATTCTCAAAACAACAAAACCCATTCATAATATTGCCTCTCAAAACTAGATGTGTATGTATGTGCAAGTATGTATGCTTGAGTTAGCATATGCGGGGCATGAGTATCCATGCCAGCTTGCTCCAGGGAGCCCCTATCTCTACCTCCCAGTCACTGAGATTATAGGTGCTGTCCTGGCTTTTAAGTGAGGTCTGGGGGTTCCAACTCCAGACCTCACATTTGCATGGTAAACATAGCATCCACTGAACAGTTCAAAACTAGATATTTCTGGGCTGGAGAGATAGCTCAGTGGTTAAGAGCATTGCCTGCTCTTCCAAAGGTCCTGAGTTCAATTCCCGGCAACCACATGGTGCCTCACAACCATCTGTAATGAGGTCTGGTGCCCTCTTCTGGCTGGCAGAATATTGTATACATGACAAATAAATAAATAAATATTTTTTTAAAAAACAAAACAAAAACAAAACTAGATATTTCTGAAGCAAAAAGATCAGGAAGAATTATTTTTCTGTTTTGTTTTGATTTTTTTTTTTTTTTTTTACAGACAGGTTCTCTGTGTAGCTCTGGCTGTCCTGGAACTTGTTCTGTAGACCAGTCTGGCCTGAACTCAGAGATCCACCTGTCTCTGCCTCTCAAGTGCTGGGATTAAAGGTGTGCACCACCACCTGGTAATAATTATTTTTATTAAAAGACCAGTGGGTTCCTGACCTTTGAGACAGGGTCTCATATAACCCAGGTTAGCCTTGAACATGCTATGTAGCTGAGGCTTGCCTTGAATTCTCTCTCTCTCTCTTTTAACTAAAAATATATTTTAAGGTTATGGGTGTTTGCCTGCATGTACGAATGGGCACCAACTGAGAGCCTGGAGCCTGCTGAGGTCAAAAGAGGGTATTGCATCACCTGGGACCAGAGGTAGAAGTAGAGCCACCATGTGGGTGCTAGAAATCGAACCTGATCCTCCACAGGAGCAACATGATCCCAACTGCTGAGTCCGCCCTCCAGCCCCTTTTATCTTAGTTTTGAGATGTGGTCTCACTATGTAGTCCTGGCTGGCTCTGGACTCTTGGTTCTCCTGCCTCCATCTCCTGAGTACTAAGATTCCACATGTGTGCCTCTGTGCCAGGGTAGGAGACTAGAACTCTTCATGGGAGTGCCTGAGATTGTGGTTTGTATTTGCCACCCATGATTATACTGATTTCTGTGTATATGTAATACGCTGCTATTGCTTAGGATGTTAAAACTGCTATTGTGCACCGGGCGGTGGTGGTGTACACCTTTAACCCAAGCACTCGGGAGGCAGAGGCAGGTGGATCTCTGTGAATTCGAGGCCAGCCTGGTCTACAGAACAAGTTCCAGAACAGGCTCCAAAGCTACATAGAGAAGCCCTATGTTGAAAAACAAAACAAAACAAAAAATTGTTCTTATGCTACCAACATCACACAGTCTTAATTTGGCACGGAATATTGCCGTACATTACTGCAGGGTGCCTGCTTCCTGTATGCAAATAAGGTGCTGGGGCGAGTTACAAAGGCCCTGAGGGAGAGAGGGGTCTTGTATGTTCCACATCCAAGGAATGCCGAAGACTAAAGACGTCTATCTGCCTCTGCCGTTTTTTGCAGACTCCAGTCCCCAGCGACTCAAGTCCGTCTACCTCAGCAAGGCCACAATGAACCAAGGAGTCTCTTTTAGGCACTTGCTCCTGGTGCTGCAGCTGGGTAAGTTCTCAGACTTGAGGACCAGCAGCAGATGGTGCAGGGAGGTGGGCAGATGGGAACACGCAAAGGGCGGGGCGCGGAGGGAGCCAGCAGAAACACTGAAGCGTCTTCTTTCCTATCCAGCTCAGCTCCCAGCCGTCCTTCAAGGGAAGACTGTGGTAGTGGGCAGAGAAGGGAACACGGTGGACCTGCCCTGTAAAAGTTCCCAGGAGAAGAGCATGTTGTTCATCTGGAAGCTCTCTGACCAGACGAGGATTCTGGGGAATCAGAATAACTTTGTGACTAGAGGTAGGATCCCCTGTCCCCCAACCCAGGGAGGAAAACAGTTGAGTGAACTTGCGGGAGGAAACCTGTGCCTAGGAAGCCCAATGTCCCGTGGTGGCTAGGGTTGACAAAAGTCTCAGTGGTCCTCTACTCCGGGATTTCCTTTCTTCAGCTGCTGATGACAAATGGCTTCTGGTAGGATCTTTTGTTGTTGTTCTTTTAATATTCATGACTTTAGTGGACATTGGAAAACTCATCATAGAAAGTATATGATTTCAAGAGTATTATTACTACAGACAGCGAAGATGATGTGGTATTTTGTTTACTCCCATTAAGAGCAACAGCTAGTGACACAGAGTGCTTGCCTAGAGCATCTAAGGGTTTGAGTCCCCCCCCCCCCAAAAAAAAAAACAAAGAAAAAAAACTCCAAAACCAAAGCCAAGTGGTGGTGGCATACACTTTTAGTCCCAGCACTGAGGAGGCAGAGGCAGGTGGATCTCAGTAAGTTCAAGGTCAGCCTGGGTACAGAATGAGTTCCAGAAAAGCCAGCACTACATAGAGAAACCCTATCTTGGAAAACCAAAACAAACACCCCCTCCCACACACCAAAAAAAAGCCCACAAAAAACAAAAACAATAGTTCATTTCTTGTGATCTTAGCATTAGGACTTAAGGCAAGAAGGTGGTAAGCTTTAGGTCGTATACCAAGACTGTCTCAAAAATAAATGAAATAAATTTATTTAATCTTAAAACTGAACACATTCTGAGTAAGTTCCAGAAAGCTAGGGCTACATAGAGAAACTCTGTCTTGAAAAACCAAACAAAAACAGAACAAAAAAACCAACCAAACAAAAAAAAATCCTGGACACATTCTAAGACGCTGTGTAAAGTAGATAGATTTGGCTAAACTACGTGTGTTGTCCCTGAAAGGCTGAAGTTTGAGAACAGCCCCAGTCCAGCCTCTACTCTCCTTGGTAGGCAGCTGAGGCCCCGCCCCCACATAGAAGCAGAGCTGGGTCTGGAATGCTGGCCCCGGGGAGGGGGAGCTCTAAAGAGCTGTGTTCTAGGCAATGAGCTCCTGCTTGATGTCTAGACAGGCATTTTAAAGATGGCTCTGTATTCCAATGTGTATAAATACATGTGCCTGGCTGGTGGGATGACTCAGCAGGTTGAAGGTGTCCGCTGCCCCATCGGCTAACCTGACTTTCAGTTCCTGACCCACGTGGTCTGCAGTTTGTCTTCTGACCCCCGTGTGTTCTCTGTAGCTGGCTTGAGTGGGAACGCTCACATGCCCTCTAAATAAACTAGTAAATGTAGTAAAAAAAAAAAAAATTAAAAATATTTATAAATATCTGAAGTAGATATGTATTTCTAGCTCATTTCTTTTCTGTAACTGCTAACTCCTTATTCATCTCTACTATGATGACTTATTTACTTGACTAATCCCATATTGTTGGACATTTAGGCTCTTTTCAGTTTTGTTTTAACAAGAGGATCTCCAGGGAATACCTTTGAACTCATTTTGCAAATTCCTTTTTTCCCCTTGAAAACAGGGTTCTTCTGTTGCCTTAGCTGTCCTGGAACTCGTAGACCAGGCTGGCCTTGAATTCACAGAGTCACCTGCCTTTGCCTCCAGACAGTCCTGTGCTGGGAAAGGCCTGCACCATTACCCTTGGGCTCATTAGGTCTTTAAGGTCAGCACAATCTGCTTCCGGGCTAGATTTGCATCCAGGACTCTGCTGGGTAGAGCACTGTCCCTGGCAGAGGCCAGATGACCTGTTGAGACCGAGATAATGGCTCTGAGGATCCCTGAATCGCTGGGGGGCGATTTTTCTTCCCCTTGAAAACAGCCTGTATTTATCCCTAAGTAGCTCAACTGTCTCCCCTTCAAATCAAGGGTCCACAGCCTTCCCCCATTTTACCCCTTCCATCATTCTATGATCCCTTCCGTTCAAACCAGCAGTGTTTCCGCCCACAAGATCCGGTGAGTTCTCACTGACTGGAACACATTTCCTCATGTTTAGAAGATGAGTGGACTGATAATTTTCCAAATCTTTAAGACTGGGTCCTTTGTGCTTAGAAATAAATATCTGCAGCTAAATATTCAGTTTTGTTATTGTGAATTCTACCTACACAAAACAGTAGAAAATTAGCACAGTTTGGTCAACTCCTTTTTCACTTTGTAATAACAATCATTTCCAACAATGTAGGCCTCACTTCTAAGATCTGGAGCCCAAAGCTTTCTAGACATGTGGACTAGGCCCAGAAAGAAACAAACCTCAGTGAAAGACAGTCTTCACTCGCTAAAGACTAGGGAAGAAACCCAATCGAGAAAGACAAAAACCCAAACATCAGAGGCAAAACTGTCCCGTTCCCTAATGTATGGCAACACTGAGCAAGGAGCCACACTTCCTCCTCTTAAGACTGGAGTGGAGAGTCCAGATACCTCTGCGGGGACTGTGCCCTCGGAGGTGAAGGTGAGAGCTCGCTGTTCATCCAAGCCGGTCTGTCACGGGCTCCTGCAGTGTTGGTAGAGTGTCAGAGAAACTGGCTCAACCCGCCTGACAATCAAGAACGCCACTTAGCCAGTCGGTGGTGGCGCACGCCTTTAATCCCGGCACTCGGGAGGCAGAGGCAGGCGGATCTCTGTGAGTTTGAGACCAGCCTGGTCTACAAGAGCTAGTTCCAGGACAGGCTCCAAAACCACAGAGAAACCCTGTCTCGAAAAACCAAAAAAAAAAAATAATAATAATACAGACAGCTATAGAGTAAACCCCCCAGTGTTGGGCCTCCACACATGNAAAAAAAAAAAAAAAAAAAAAAAAGAACACTTCCTGTAGGCGGAGGTGTCAGAGGAGGCCTGGTGGACAGTTAGGATTTCTATCATCCCCAGCAGCAATGAGATCACCATGGTGCTATATGGGTGGAGACCAGGGTACAGGCTGGCGTTTCCACTCAGCCCAGTAGTAATGAGGGACATGCCCCTCAAGGGTCAACAGATGATGGCAGGAATTTGCATTTCTACCTATCTGCAGTGTTAAGGAGGTTCCCAACCTTCCCTGCACAAATGTTATCCAAAGGAGTCAAAGCAGAGAGTTTAATACAAGCCACCCATCTTTTTGCTGTTGTTATTGTTGTTTGTTTGTTTGTTTGTTTGTTTTTGAGACAGGGTCTCTGTGTAGCTCTGGCTGTCCTGAAACTTGCTGAGAAGACCAGGCTGGCCTCACACTCACAGAGCTGAGCCTGCCTCTGCCTCCTGAGTGTTTGGGATTAAAGGCTTGTGCCAGAAAACCCAGAACAATACAAAATCTTAAAGAGTCCAACAACAAAGTACTTATAACATGGCACTCAGATCTCTAAATGTCCACATTGTTTTTCTCCCTTTCCTCCTTCCTTCTTTCTTCTTCCTTCTCCTTACACACACACACACACACACACACACACACACAAATGCAATGATTTAAAAAAAATGTTCAAACACTAGGAAGGCAAGAAAAGGAATACTGAAACACGTGACTGAAGGATGTGGATTGGTTGGTAGAGTACCTGCCTGGCAGACAGGAAACCCTGGCTAGACTCTTAGCACATAGGAAAGCCTGGGTTAGACCCCAGCATACCATAAACTGGGCCTGAGAGGCTTAGAACACCAGGACTTCAGCCATGAAGCAAAAGGATCAGAAGTCCAAGGTCATTCTTAGCTACTTAGCTACACGAGGAGTTTGGGACCAGCCAAACTCAAAACAAAACAAAAAAGAAAACTTAAACAAAGTAACAGGCACAAGCCCTAACATATCAACAATTACATTAGGTATACATGATCTGCATACATCACAATAGTCTACATGAGTTGTAACAGTCTGCACACATTATAACAATCGACACACATTGTAACAGTTTATATATATTATAATGGTCTAGACCACATAATAGTCCACACGCATTGTTGTTGTTGTTGTTATTATTATTATTTATTGTAAGACTAAGTCTCACTACTTAGCCCTAGATGGCCTGGAATTCACCATGTAGACCAGCCTGGCCTCGAACTCATAGACATCCTCCCTGCCTCTGCCTCCTGAGTGCTGGGGTTAAAGCTATGTGCCACCCCACCTGGCCATTATTTCTATTTATTATTTGCTTATTTGGGGCTGTGCTGGAGGTTTGAATCTAGGGTCTCCCACATGTAGGGCAAGTGCTCTACAGTTGCGTTTTATTTCCAGCCTGCAGACATGTATTAACAGAGAGCATTGAGGGGGGACAGCTGTAACTCAGTGGAGTATGGATCGAGTCCTAGGTTCAATCCATGGCGCCTCCAAAAAGGAAGGAAAGAGCAGTAGACAACACTCCTGAAATTCCAGATTATAGAAATGGACAACAGAAAGGGACGAGGGTCCATGAAGAAAAAGGAGGTAAGCCGGGCGGTGGTGGCACACACCTTTAATCCCAGCACTTGGGAGGCAGAGGCAGTCGGATCTCTGTGAGTTCGAGCCCAACCTGGTCTACAAGAGCTAGTTATAGGAAAGTTAGAACTGTAACACAGAGAAACCCTGTCTCGAATAAAAAAGATGATGTTTTAACTTTCTTTCATTCATTCGTTTTGTTTTTGTTTTTCAAGACCGGGTTTCACTGTGTAGTCCTGGCTGTCCTGGAACTCACTCTGTGGACCAGGCTGGTTTCTAATGATCTATCTGCCTCTGCCTCCCACGTGCTGGGGATAAAGGCGTGCGCCACCGCTGCCTGGCGTACCAGAGTTTTCTAAGACTATTGAGATAAACTGGGAAGAGTCCAGAGGAGTTCATGCTCTTAACTCTCACAATTGCATGTGACTCTACATCTCTAACTAGAATAGCATCAGCTTCCCTCAACTGAAAACAAACACCCATAAAGGACCTTGTCAAGGATCTTCTGCTAAGTGAAAGCTGATCGGTAGACTTGTCATATAATCCCATTGGAAAGATTGCTTTCAACTCTGTATGAATGTGTGTCTGAGTGCAGTTGCTAGAGGAGGCCAGAAGAGGGCACCTGGAG